CTCTGACACTGGGCAGGAAAACAAGGTGTGTAATTGTTTGAGTTCTAGTTTACATGAACATGCTATGAGCAGATCATAAGGAAAGATAATGTACTTTGTATGGCACTATAGCAAGTAAACCCATAGAATGATAGCTTAACTGTGCCTCCACTTGGCTAGCGACACCAAATTAGCCTAGTTAGAAAAGTATTATTTATATCAGTCTGGTAGTTCTACAAACAGTCACAACAGCTGAGGCAAGTCTCATGATAAATCCAACTTTTTCTGATCATGTCATGCATGAGAACTATGAGTTTCACTTTGTAGTGTATTTATGTAGGTTTGATACTAATTAACGTATTTAGTAATCCGACTACTGATTACTGTGTGTAAAAAGTAATGTAATCAGATTAAATTTTAAAGTAGTAATTAGTCATTTGTAGTGGATTATTTTTTGAGTAACGTACTCAACACTGACACACACACAGGGTGAGAATCTTCCGTGTATGTCAGGATGGGTAAGACTGAGTTCTTTGCTGGTTTTGTTCTTGATGAGTGCTGCAGGCTTTATTAATTAGATTTAATGTTGATGAATGTAGGAGCTGTCATCTCCTCCAGCACACTGAGGCTGTGTGAATGAGCGAAGGCAGCTTTAAACAGGAAGCTGAGCAATGCCACTTTAGCCATCTACTGTACATTCACACTGAGCTCATCACAGCTCATCAGTCATTAACGGCTGAGTTGAATGAGGTAGGCCAACAGAGAAATAGTCTCAGACTCAGATGCTCTGCCTACAGTCTCTCTGATGGATATTTTGCACGTATAATAAAACTTCAAATACCTAAAAATATGGTATTTCCATTACCATACCTAAGTACCTACACTTAAGTTAGTTACTAATGTTGTTAAACCTCTACTATTAATTTTAGCTTATGGGACATAGTGGCTTAGTGGTTAGCACATTTGCCTCCAGGGTTGGGGGTTTGAATCCCAAATCCAGGGCGGAGTTTGCATGCTCTCCCTGTGCTTCAGGGGTTACCTCCAGGTACTCTGGTTTCTTCCCCCAGGCCAAAGTCATACATTGTAGGGTGATTGGCATTTCCAGATTGTCCATGGTGTGTGAATTGGTGTGTGATTGTACCCTGCGATGAGTTGGCATCTCATCCAAGGTGTCCCCCGCCTTCTGCCCCGAGTTCCTTTACATTTATTTTACATTCATTCATTTAGCAGACACTTTTATCCAAAGCGACTTACAAATGAGAAAAATACAAGCAAAGCAAAATATCAAGTAGAGAACAATACAAGTAGTGCTACTATACAAGATCCATTAATTGAGTTCCAGAAGAAGCAAAGTGCTCAGGGTAGAGGTGTAAGTGCAAATTTTATTTATGATTTTTTTTTTTTTAATGAGTTAGTTAGTTGTTCACTGAAGAGGTGGGTCTTTAGCTGTTTTTCGAAGATGGTGAGAGATTCTGCGGTCCGGATTGAGGTTGGAATTTCATTCCACCAGTGAGTGAGGAACAGTTAGTGTGAAGGTTCTGGAAAGGGACCCTGCACCATGCTGAGTGGGGACTACTAAACGTCGGTCGCTAATCAATCGCAGATTGCGTGAGGGAACATAAGCCTTCAGGAGAGAGTTGAGGTAGGAGGGTGCTGTTCCAGTTCCTTGTGATAGGTTCCAGGTTCCCCATGACACTGTGTCGGATAAATGGATCGAAAAGTGGATTTTAGCTTAATTTCTTACTAGCCATTCAAGTAAATTCTCTCATCCTGAAGTTAGACCAAATCCCAAAAGGCATTCTATTCCCTACAGAGTATAAGATGCGGGTACTAGTACCTATTTAGTGCACTATATATCTTGTAGTCTTGTATCTATTTGAGGTTCAAGCATATTTTTGCCGTTTTTTCACTCAAAGATTACACGTACATTAAAATACTGGCACTCATGGCTTTGTTTGGGTCACTTTGTTAAATTTTCACAAGAAGCCATATGACATATGAAGTCATATGAAGATTTCATTATTTTCCATCTATTTTGTTCCCCACAAAATGGAGGAGCTTGGCTTTTGAATACATGGTTTTCTCCCAGTTTTCGGGTTTCATGGCTACTCTAGATTTCCTCTAGATGTGAAAGAGTATGTGCGTTTGTATGTGTGTCTGTGTGTGACCCAGGGATGGATTTGTGGGATAGGCGCTGTATCTAACATAGCTCTGGTTGGATGCATAGCTGTAAGCAAGAGTATTATTTGACATTACAAAAACCTGTATTCTATATTTAGAAAACATTCAGATACATTTTGATTAGATGATTAGATATGTATCAGAATTCTCTCTGTAAGGGATTCAGTGATTTGATGTTTCTTTTCCTACTCTTGTACTGTATGCTAGATGTGAGTTGGGCTCACTGAAATGTCTACATGTTCCACTACTGTTGTTCACCGGATCGGTTCTCACTGCTCCAGTCCTTCAACTCTTATTGGTCCTGTCATTTGGCATGTTTCTGCACCACCTCGTAACCGCTGGCATTGCTCTATAACTGTACTCACTTTGCTCAGTACATCAGGAGCCTCTGGGGCACTACAGAACAAAGATAGTGGCACTGCTACCTGGTCTCATTTATCCTGGTCAGGGTTGTGGTGGACCTGGAGCCTATCCCGGGAAACATAGAGAACAAGGTAAGGATATTTCCTGAATAAAATACCAGTCCATCGCACCATGGAGACTTGCATTCTTACACTCATTCACACCTAGGGGAAACTTGGAGGAGTCACTTCACCTACTAGCATGTTTTTGGAAGGTATAAGAAAACTGGAGAAACTGGAGGAAACCTACACAGACGCAGGGAAAACCTGAAATCTCCACACAGACCACAACCTGAACCAGGGACTGAGATGGGACAAAAACACCCTCTGAGTCCAGTGCAGAGTTTGGAACCTCACAAGCTTACTCATATCAACAGTATGTGTGCTTTATAAGGTCTAATTATAATTATAACATTATGTGTGATTCGAACACTGTCAAAAGAATTCCAATGAGTATAAATGAATATTTTTAGAACAGTATTGTTTCCTGTGTTTAAGTTTCCTTTAAGATTTTTACACACAAACATGGGGTTGAGTTTGTGGAAGTGCACTAAGAAGACATTTGGTTTGGCAGATATGCTATTGGATAAAAGTTGGGCTTATGAGCAGATTAAATGCATGTATCCATCCCTGGAGATTATGACGTTAGGTAATGTCTGGAATTTTGCCATCTTCATATCTTCTAGGGAAAGCATTTCCACTTACTTTTTATCCCTCTGGTTCTCTTTTTTTTCTCTGTGCAGCATGTAGTCCACCTCCATCTCATTACCTCTACTCAGGATTATACATCTTTAACGATAGAGGCATGTCGAATATTTGTGCTTCTCTCTCTCTCTGTGTGTGTCTGTGTGTGTGTGTGTGTGTGTGTGTGAGTGTGCGTGTGCGTGTGCGTAAGAGACCGGAAAGCTGGGCCTGTTCAGCCACTGACCCTGAATCCGTTAAGGAAACAAACTGACAGCGACTATAATGAGAATAAATGAAATAATTGGGAATCATCAACCAATACATACACCTCTCTCCTTCTCTCTCTCTCTCTCTCTCTCTCTCTCTATCATTTCCTTCTCTCCTCACATGCTCATGCAGCCCCATCAATGAAAAATTAGGCATAATTAGCGCTATAGTCGAAGGGGCCCAGCATGGAGAGCTTTATGTGTAGTACTAGCTTATAAGAATTAGATATTTATGAAAATACTCCAGGAAAAGCAGTTGAAATAATTGGCTATCAGGTGGGTTTTATAAAAGGCAGAAAGACTGCTGATATGTGACACACGATTCACAAATTCCTACAAATAATGAGGGTTTTCATCTCTCGCTCTCTCTCTCTCTCTCTCTCTCTCTCTCTCTCTCTACAAGAATGACAGTATATTCAATCAGGGAACAGTATTAAATATTACAGCAGTAAAATAGAGACTCTATACCTGATGATTCCTTTCTGTATGGGACACATCCTCTTCACATTTGAGACACATCTGCATCATTCTTGCATGTGCTTAGTTCTTCTTTGAATGAAATGAGCAGTTGATTTCATCAGCTTAGATAAGAGACTTGTCACAAATCACATCAATAAAACTGATCTCTCTACACACACAAAAGCAAATACAGACATGCTATGTCACATCATTCTGTGACTAAAATGACTAAAGACTAAACTGATGTTAACAGTGTAATTAACCATGCGTCTATAATTAAAGCCTCAAACACAAATGATTCTATGGTGATTCCATTAATAGCTGCTTTAAATGACACGATCAAAGCTCAAATGTGAAAATGATTTACATGAAAATTAAATTCTGATATCAATTGCAGTTCCAAGTCACAATGTATTCCCTATTCAAAGTAAAAAGTGTGTCCTTGTTATACACTAGAGTCAGCCCTACACACTCGCAGGTTTAACATTTGTGGGATCGATTATTCATGAGTTTGCCATCAATAATTAAATGGAATTTTTTGGGGGAGTTTTGCAGAGTTTAGTAAGTCATAAATGCATAAAATATATCTATTATTAATCTACACATCATTTACTACCATAAATATATACACAAGTGTATTATAAAACGTTACATTTTGTAAAAAGTTTCCGTTGCGCTAAAGAACTGCGGACTATGCAGTCTGTCTGAGGACGCTGTGCTCTTTGTCTCGGTACTAGCCCGGCTCACTCATCTGTTTCGTCTCTCAGTGTGCTGTGTATCTCGCATTTCTCTCAACTTTTAAAGTGCAATAAAATATCGACTGTAATCATGGGTCCAAAGCGTAGTGCTTCTAGTGCTGCTGAACATGCTCCCAAAAGGCATAAGAAAGTGAAGACCTTACAAGAAAAGGTCAAATTATAATTATTATTATACAGTGAAGTGAGCTGCTGCAGTTGCCTGCTATTATGGAATCTGTTGTAGTACACTGTATTGCTTTCCTTTTTTTTGTATGTTAAATCGGGCACATGGTGGCTAAGTGTTGAAGTGGTTAGCACATTCGCCTCACACCGCCAGGGTTGGGTGTTCGATTCCTGCCGCAGTCCCGTGTGTGCGAAGTTTGCATGTTCTATCCCGTTGTGGGGGAGTTTCCTCTGGGTACTAATTTCCTTCCTCATCCTTTTTTTCACAAAGAAATGCTTGGTGTGCTGATTGGCATGTCCAGGGTGTATCCTGCCTTGTGCCCGATGCTTCCTGGGATAAGCTCCAGGTTTCCTGTGACCCTGAAGGATAAGTGGTATAGAAAATGGATGATGGATGGCAGTAGTGGCTTGGCGGTTAAGGCTCTGGGTTACTAATCGGAAAATCAGGGTTCGAGCCCCGCTGCTGAGCAAGGCCCTTAACCCTCTCTGCTTCAGGGGTGCTGTATCATGACTGACCCTGTGCTCTGTCCCCAGCTTCCTGACATGCTGGGGTATGCAAAGAAAAGAATTTCACTGTGCGTGTATATGTGCCCGATAAAGACTCATTATCATTATGTACAGTATCTCACAAGTGGGTACACCCCTCACCTTTTTGTAAATATTTGATATATTTTAATGTGACAACACTGAAGAAATTACACTTTGCTACAATGTAAAGTAGTGAGTGTACAGCTTGTGTAACAGCGTAAATTTGCTGTCCCCTCAAAATTACTGAACACACAGCCATTATTGTGTAAACTGCTGGCAACAAAAGTGAGTACACCCCTAAGTGAAAATGTCCAAATTGGGCCCAAAGTGACAATATTTTGTGTGGCCACCATTATGTTCCAGTACTGCCTTAACCCTCTTGGGAATTGAGTTCACCAGAGCTTCACAGGTTGCCAGTGGAGTCTTCTTCCACTCCTCCATGACGACATCACAGAGCTGGTGGATGTTAGAGACCTTGTGCTCCTCCACCTTCAATTTGAGGATGCCCCACAGATGCTCAATAGGGTTTAGGTCTAGAGACATGCTTGGCCAGTCCATCACCTTCACCCTCAGCTTCTTTAGCAATGCAGTGGTCATCTTGGAGGTGTGTTTGGGGTCATTATCATGCTGGAATACTGCATACTGATCATGCTCTGCTTCAGTATGTCACAGTACATGTTGGCATTCATGGTTCCCTCAATGAACTGTTGCTCCCCAGTGCCAGCAACACTCATGCAGCCCCAGACCATGACACTCCCACCACCATGCTTGACTGTAGACAAGACACACTTGTCTTTGTACTCCTCACCTGGTTGCTGCCACACACGCTTGACACCATCTGAGCCAAATAAGTTTATCTTGGTCTCATCTGACCACAGGACATGGTTCCAGTAATCCACGTCCTTAGTCTGCTTGTCTTCAGCAAACTGTTTGCGGGCTTTCTTGTGCATCATCTTTAGAAGAGACTTCCTTCTGGGATGACAGCCATGCAGACCAATTTGATGCAGTGTGCAGTGTATGGTCTGAGCACTGGCAGGCTGACCCCCCACCCCCTCAACCTCTGCACCAATGCTGGCAGCACTCGTACATCTATTTCCTTAAGACAACCTCTGGATATGATTCTGAGCATGTGCACTCAACTTCTTTGGTTGACCATGGTGAGGCCTGTTCTGAGTGGAACCTGTCCGGTTCAACCAGTGTATGGTCTTGGCCACCGTGCTGCAGCTCAGTGTCAAGATCTTGGCAATCTTCTTATAGCCTAGGCCATATTTATCTAGAGCAACAATCCTTTTTTTCAGATCCTCAGAGAGTTCTTTGCCATGAGGTGCCATGTTGAACTTCCAGTGAACAGTATGAGGGAGTGTGAGAGCGATGACACCAAATTTACCACACCTGCTCCCCATTCACACCTGAAATCTTGTAACACTAACAAGTCACATGAAACCGGGGAGGGAAAATGGCTAATTGGGCCTAATTTGGATGGTTGTGAGTTCAAATTCACAACTGTCTGAATATGACCACATGTACTCTATGTACCGGTTCAATCCCACCCATGTAAGCTCTCTGAGCATTAGTGAGGTCAGGTACTGATGTTGGGAGAGGAAGTGCAGTCAGTATTCTAATTCATCCAAAAGGTTTTCAGTGGGGTTGAGGTCAGGGATCTGTGAAGTCCACTCAAGTTCTTCTACACCATCCTTGGAGGGGCACTGTCATGGCACTGTCATGTCCACATATGTTTGACCATATAGCATAAGTGTCTCATGTATAGTAACACCAACAACCTTTAGAAGTAGCATCAGCTGCTGATCATGCTCACATTTAACCAGCATTAAGTACCAAGTACCAACGACAATTTTAATCTAATATTAACTTTGTTATAACTTCTGCATCTGTATTAAAGCAGTTCTATTGTCTTCCACCAGAAAATATGTTAGTAGTTTGGCAGTGGTGGCTCGGTGATTTGCTGTTAACAAATGTCTTACACTGCTTACAGAGCTTACTCTGCTCTGATTGGTCAGATGTCCCAGTCTATTGTGACTGGTCTACCGCTTACATTGCATGTGAAAAAGGAAATACCCACTACCATATCCATAATAATGTACCTTACCAATTTGAGCCCGAGTCAGATAAAGATGCATCAGTAGATCAACCCGAACCACCATCACAAGCATGACAAGAACAGAACATTTCTCAGTGGTAAGTTTATATGTGGTTTAGCAATAACGTGAGTTAGCCAGTTAGCACGGGCTAACAGCTAATAGGCTTACAGCTATGCTGTACTGGCTGTACATGTATACAACACAAAACCATGCATTTGGAACACTCAATAGAAAATATATACATAAATATTTAATCATACTTACAGGTTGTGATCCAGAGGCGCAAGATGGTCCAAATAAAATGGGTACAGCCCATTGACTTGTTGTCAACGTGTTGATGGCTAGATTTGAGAAGCAGTTGTTAGTGAATTCTAACTACAGACGCTTTACAACCTCATCCTTTGGAATCCTCAGCCTTTGGAATCTATTGTCTGAGTTAGAAAGAAATCAGCCCCAGCCTCACTTCTTCATACCATTCTGTGTGGTATTCTTACAATGTTGCTGTTGTGCTTGATTCCACAAAAGTGTAAGACATTTGTTAACAGCAAACTGCAAATGCAAAGTGGTTTTGCTTTTGCAGCGCAGAAAACAATCTCTTCTAGATATGAACCTAACTCTTTCAGGACGCAACCTGAACTGTTGTGTTTGAGGGTGGATCAAAAGTTGTTCGCAAGCAACCAATGAGGACTAGAGGTGGGGTTTTTTGTCACCAAATTATGTAGGTTAGTACAGGAAGTAAGTCTGGAATTACTAACGACTCATCTCAGACTCAGTTCTTTCGTTTGGGAGTCAATAACTCTACGTTTCGTGCACTTTTGAAACTTTGCAGACTTTTTACATGCACAAACATCTCTATAACACATTACATGATAGGTAATATCTGAAAAAGCAAATTAGGTGCACTTTAATTCATATTTTGCCATACAACATTACTATTATGCCTTCAATAAGACCTTAATAAATTTGTTGCTAAGCTATTTATTTATAGATAACAGATTTTAGCCCTCCATCTATCACAGTCATGCATCAGTGGATTGCAGGTTTGGCATAGGGAACGGGTGACATCAATGACTTGGGGTGAAGGTCATTTCATCACCATGACAACAACTTGGCAACAAATTATTTTCAGCTCCACCAATTAAAATATACAGTGAATTATGAACAGTGCTGAAAGTGTGTTTTGGTTAAAAAAATTAAATAAATAAAATAATAATAATAATAATAATAATAATAATAATAATAATAATAATAATGAAGTGGGCAGGACACATTCATAAACAAGACAAAACAGACCAAACCAGGCCATAGCATCAAAGCAGGTTAGCACCTAGGAACCATAGAACCCAAATACACTAAACTAATGAAAACAAGAGACAGGTATCCACAATATGGAAGTTACCCAAGGTTCGGATGAAGAGGGAGACCAAAACAGAAACCAAATCATGTTGCATGACAAGAACAGAACATTTCTCAGTGGTAAGTTTATATGTGGTTTAGCAATAACGTGTCTATAACAACGTCTCTGTGCTGTGGGTTGATACTCAACCATTCAAATTTGGATGCATATTCAAACCCAGAATTTCTAAGAACCTTTTGCAGTTACTATATCTATGCAGATCTGTATTCACATATCTGATGACATAATGGTTTAGCGCTTAAATTGGTGAAAATGAGAATCAATTCTTTAAAAGGTTTACTGCACAGGGACAGACACTAATCCAAGTTAATCCTGATTTAATTTCCACGGCTACTAATACAACGGTCATTGTGTAATGTTAAAGCATGAAGGTTTTTGGTAAACTAAGCCAATCACTTTTTATAAAACATGAATGATTATTTTTCCATTTATAGGAAAATGTAGAGTTTGAATGATTATAGTGTAAATGATAACAAGGGATTAATAAGCAGCTCTTTTCAACAGGATAAAGGACAAATACACTCCACCTGACCCCACTGTTGTTCTGGGGACTAATGTGGTCATGGGAAGCAGCTGCATAAACATTGTACACTCTTGGATTTCTCTCTCTCTCTTTCTCTCAATCTCTGAGGGCTCCTTATCTTTGGATACATCCTGTCTAGGCCTGCAGAATGTGTGTTGTTTAGGAGAGCAAAATGAGCATTTTTTTGACCCTACACCACTCCCCCCATCCACACCCACCCACACATAAACACACACACACACACACACCATCAGTGTTAATTAAAGCGGGAGCACGCGTGCGACTCCACTTCAGTCTGGGAGTGCAGCAGGCTAATTAACCTCGCCTGTCCCTCAGCCCCACAACTGCCATTATGGCTTTAATATGCCAAATTAGAAACTGATTTTGAACTGCCTCTGCCCTGAAGAGAGATATTGATCCCTCCTCTCCCTCTCCTCTCTCTCTCTCTCTCTCTCTCGTTCTCTTGTTCTCTCTCTCTCTCTCTCTCTCTCTCTCTCTCTCTCCCTCTTTCTCCGTCTGGCCAGGCCAGTCCTGGTTTGCCTACATCCCACTGGGTCTTGTGGTTCAGTTCTATTGCTTGAATTAGTTATCCGATTGGTTCCTTTGATTAATGATA